GGAGTGAGAGGTGATGGCTTTAAAAAATTGAAGGTGATAGAAATGTTTGTCATCTTGATTATGGTGATGGTTTCATGGATGTATACATGCCAAAATTCACTGACTTATATACTTTAAATATATGCTGTTTATTGTTTGTCATTTAAACCTCAATAAAGCTATATAAAGAAAGTTGCAAACATAAATATTAAAGAACCAAGATAGCGAAACTTTTATTTTGGCAATATTTTTGAAGATATTTTGTCTTTCAGTTTTAAGACTTGCATTTGAAAACTTATTTAAAGAGAGTCATAAATTCAATGTAATCTCACTGTGTTGGTGTATTTAAAGATATATTTTAGTGCACAGTTCTGGTATAGACACCCTAGAGGCAGAAGAATAGGGAGAGAAAAGGAAGGAACATTATGAAAAAGAATATCTTTAAGTTGAAGGCTTTGGGTTCTATAAGATAATTCAAGACCCTGGTTGCTGTTTATTTCCTCTACAGTTTTCCACCTGAAATTACCAGGACATGACCCATATCATTCTAAAGATTTTGTATTTGTTGTTTGGGCCCATTTGAAAACATTTTGGTAAAATAAAACAAATAAGAAGGAAATACGCAGGTGGCATTATGTTGTAGCTTGAGAACTCTGTCTTCTGAGCTTTTAAGCTGACTTTTTTCCCCTTTTTCTTTGGTTAAGTGACCAGAGTCTTGCATCTTTTTGAATTACAGTTGTTATTAAATTGACTGACAAGAAAGTTGTAGCATTTGCCTTGAAAAAGATGTCTATTACAGAAGTGTTTCCTAAAACTGAGTAACTCCTTAACTATAAACATTTTAGGGAAGATAGTTTGGGAATTTATTATGTGTTCCAATATAATACTCCACAACATAGGCACTTCTGTTTATTGATTTCACTCAGTCGATCCAGAGATGTATCATCAGCAGGCATTGAGGGGCAAATAGAGTTATGAATGCTCTATAAATGGCATGGGTTGCTAACAAATTATCTAGTATTAGGACCATAGATTCTCTAAAAATACCTGGTATATCCATATGTTCATATCCCATAATTCCTAGAACAGTGTCTTGAATGTAACCGGAATGCTGCGTAAGTTATAATTTCAATTTGCTGAATATATACAAAGAGTTTCTTCTCGGTTATTATAATCTTGTAAAACACAAGTATTTAAATTTTTTCCAGGAATATATGTATGTCTTGTTAAACTTACTTTCAGAAAGGGTATATTGGAAAGCTAGTCTTTTAACATGTCATTACTTGTCTTTCCTTATGTGCTGTCTGCTCCCCCAGCCCTCTGGTTTGTCACATATATGTGGAGCTTTTTCCTCTCCTTCATTAAGCTTTCTTTTGTGACCTTGGCTAATTTTCAACCTAGAAACTGTAGATTATATTAAGTTACATTTTAGCCCTATACTTCTTGAAAGTCTAACAGAGATACCTTGAAGGGGTAGATTAGCCATTATCTTTCAAGGAAATTGTTAGGGAATACAAATTAATGATTAAATTATTTTCTCAAACGAACGGTCTATTTTAACTGAAATCATATTATTGTATTACTGTAACATTTCTAATTAGTTCGGATCTGAGTAATGAACAAAGACCTCTAGTTCTGCTACTTCTTCTCGTATATAATTTCCACCACTTCATATAATACATTTTTACTTACCCTTATAACATATGGTTATTTAAATTATGTAATTAATAGTAGAACCTGATTTCTTGGCCTAATCACTGTTTTCCATTGAAAAAGTACAAGGTATCTTTTTAATGTCATTCAGTTTGTGCCACTGCCTTTAGGCAACACTTGATGTACATTAACCAAAGGAGAATCTATCTGATCTTTCAAGACTCCAGCAATGACATTGTTCTTGCCAGTCAAGGCTAATTTTTGATGATCTTCTCTCAGAATTTTCAATTTTACAACATAAGACTTTCTTTCCTTATATACCCCTTATTGCAGTTGAAACTTTTTCACTATCCACAAAATAAAGGCTATGTATAGGTTATTATGACTCTTTTTTCTAAAGTGGGCTATTTAAAGTATTTTTTGGAATCCTGCCTTCTAATCCTTGATGTCTTTTGGCACTTCTCTGTGAATATTTTTCAGATTTTCTCATTTTTTTAAGTGATGGAGCTCAGAATAAGATGTGATAATCTAATACATGTCTGATTTATTGTGAATATAATCTTAGCTACTACTAGTTCTGTTTACATTTTTATACTTTTTAAAGACTTTTAAAAATATACATCCCAGCATTTACTTGGACTTCTACCCATAATTTTTAATCTAATTTTGTGATATTTTCTTGTAACTGTTAAATATGTGTGTAATTTATTTTGCCTTCTTAAATTTGCTATCCTGATTTGTCCTGGTTTTCCTTCACTTATTTAGAATAGAGACATTTATTACTTTTGTCAAAACTAAGCTTAATTCTGAATCCATTCTTTGAGGTATTCTGTAGAATTAATTATTGTAAAATGAAAAACACAAATCCTGATTTAAAAGGAGCTCTATATGTTTTATATCATTTATATCTGCTTAAGTATAGGAAATGGCCTGTTATACTTTGGAGAAGTTTAAATATACTATGGTTAGTTCAATGTTATGCTTTGCCTGTAGAGTGTCTACTTGCTTGAGATGAATAATGTAGTCACTGAAAAATATATTTTATACCCAATTGGACTTGCAAAAGTTGTTTGGGTTATACCAGTCACCCCTTTTTTTTCCAACTATATACTGCCATCAGCCTCCAATTTCGTGTTCTCTAATGTCCCTTTGATTTGTTGTTGTTGTTGTTGTTGTTAGTGGCAAATGATATGAATGTGTTTTCACAGTAATTGTAATTGCTGATGGGAAAAATGTTTCATTTTTACATGGCTCAGTTGGTTAAAAATTTTCAACATTCAGTATACTTACAGGAATCTTCCAAGAGCAAGATAAAAATGAATGCCATATTATGTCCGGTTAAAATTTTCAACTGTGCTCAAGTCACTAAAACTTCTTTAGGGTGATGAATTAGATATTCCTCATTTAATGAAATAAGTATGTTCTATGTGAGTTCCATTTTTCCTTGAAATTCAAGGATAAAATCAGAGATATGTCTCCCCCCAAACCCAACTTCACAAAGCATCTGAGGAAGAAGACATTAAGATGGCACCAAGTCTATTAGATAAGGGAAATGCAAGTTGCACATCGCACACTCAACAACAGTCTACTACTCAATACTGCTTAACTTTGAAAATGAAAATTAAAAGATTAATGTTTCATTATAACTTCTTCATCTATTTATTTAACAAGTGTGAATTGAATGCCTACTATGTGCTTGGCAAAAAAAATTGGAAACTTAGACTTGATCCCTGCCCTAGAAGTGTTCACAATCTAGCAGATCCAAAGCACTTTTAGAGTTTTGGCTCAAGTAGGTTCAACGAGCACCTGTATTGGTCCATTGGTTAAATAGAATGCTACCAAATGAAGAACTTCAAAAAAATCTTGGAAGAACATCTAGAAATAGCAAAAGATGACACCAACACTCTATATCTGAAATGAAAACACAAAGCTGAATTTACTGCCCACTTAAGTAAAGGAGAGTTATGCTGGTTAGGCACACTCTCTGAGCAAATCAGACTGTTGATTTTATATAGGGTTTGGGGAGAAATGGTAGCCAGCCTCCAAGATTGCCCCATTGATGTGCTTCCTGGTATTCATGCTCTTGTGTATTTCCCCCTCACATTGTATCAGAGTTGGACTGTGTTACCTACAGAATTCTTAGAAATGATGATACAATCACTTCTCAGGCTAGGTCAGAAAAGATTTTCTGGCTTCTGCCTTGCTCTTCCTTGGATAAGTCACTCTGAAGAAAGTTAGCTGCCATATCATGAGAACACTCCAGCAGCCCTGCTGAGAGGTCTATGTGTTGATAAACCGAGACCCTCTGCTTCAGCCGATGAAGCACTGAGGGCTATGTGAGTTAATGCACTGTGGAAGTGGAGGCTCCAGCCTGGCCAATCCTTCAGATGACTGTAGCTTCAGTGAGAGCTTGACTGCAACCTCATGAGAGACCCTGAGCCTGAACCAGCCAGTGAAGTCACTCCAAAATTTCTAATGCTCAGACACTGTGTGAGATAAACTTTTGTTGTGTTATGCTTCTAGTTACACAGCAGAGGTAATTAACACAAAAAGCATGTAAGTCAGTGATTAGTGGCTTTTAGAAGTGGAAGTGAAATGACCTAGGATTCTAAGTGTGTTTACTCAGGAAAGATTGAGTTGTTGATTAGCTTTCCCAAATGTGTTATTAGAGTGAGACTTTCGTTCACTGGTCAACTTTCAAAAGTAGGATCTCTCATTGGTTGGCTTTCGGAAGTATGTTTATTGAGGCTAGCTGTCACTGGTTGATAAAACAGGTTTAAAACTGTTTCTGGGAGTTACTTGTCACCATGGCTATCGAATTATAATTGATTGTTTAAATAGGTTTAAAAGAAAGTTCTAATTTTAACTTGTTAACATAGCTGTAGAACTGTAAGGCTGGTCTAGGAGTGTGGAGAAATGTTACTCTCAATAAACAGGCACGCAAAGAAAAAATTATATATTGCATGCATGTAATTGATATAATAGAAGCAATTAAGTGTAATTGTGAGCCTAGGTAAAGAAAATGACTACCTCTGGCAATATAAGAGATGATTCTATAAAGAAGATGATATATGAGTTTGTTCTTATGCAATAGATTAGAGCTACCGAGAAGAGAAGAGAGTGTTGTAGGTAAAGGGAAGAGAATGGGAAAATTACAAGTGTGGAAACTTCATTTTAAGAAATTATTTTTGTTTGTTTATATTTCTGCACAACCTAGCATAGGAGTGTTTTTAAGACAATGGCAAGTAAAGCAAAATAATTCTTTGGAAATATATGCCCTTACTCTGTTCAAATATT